CTCCGGACCTGCGTTCCTCCGTCAGTCAGTTGAGACATGGCCAAGCTTTGAAAGCAATCAACAAGAAGATGGACAGCACGAGCATGGGGAACTACGACCAGAACTAGTCTCAATTAATGTAGTAGAAGATCAGCCTTTGATAGATCTTAGCCGTTTTTCAAAATGGGAACGCCTACACCGAAGTGTGGCGTACGTTAAGCGATTTGTAAATAAGTTAGGTGGCATCCCTATTAGAGGTAGCCTTAGCACCGACGAGTTAGCCTGGAGCGAGACCTATTTATATCGCCTTGCCCAAGCCCAAGCCTTTCATAAAGAAATTAAAATGCTGCGTCAGAACCCAGCATGCTCCATGCCTAAAACAAGCCCTATACGTAAACTCTCGCCGTTTTTAGACCAGAAAACGACAGTAAGAATGCGCAGTCGACTAGAAAGAGCAGATTTTATAAGTAATGATATGAAAAACCCAATCATACTACCGAAAGTGCATATGATCACTAGACTGATAGTCGACTGGTATCATAGAAAGTGGAAACATTCAAACCATGAGGCCGTAATCAATGAACTGTTTCAGAAGTTCTATATACCAGGGTTGAGAACGTTATTACGGTCGGTGCGAAAACATTGTCAAGTGTGCAAGATTAACGAGGCTCGTCCGCATTCACCCGAGATGGCCGACCTGCCTGAAGCACGGTTGTCGCCCTACACCCGACCGTTCACCCACGTAGGGGTGGATTTTTTTGGACCTTTCTTGGTTACCATCGGAAGGCGCACTGAAAAGCGCTATGGTGTGGTGTTTACATGTATGACGTGCCGCGCGGTGCACGTCGAAATGGCATACAGCCTGACCACCAGCTCCTGTTGTATTGTTGTGCGCAACTTCATCGCACGAAGAGGGACTCCGAGACAGTTCTTTAGCGACAACGGAACAAATCTGAGAGCGACGGAAAAAGAGCTGCGAGAATCGCTATCGCAAGTTGACTTTGCAGGCCTAGAAGCTGAGTTTACCAACACGTACACCAAATGGACATTCATTCCACCCGCAACGCCTCATATGGGAGGGGCATGGGAGCGCATGGTGCGCTCTATAAAGGTGGTTATGTACCAGATTGTGACGCCTGCAACAAGAATGACTGATGAAAAGCTCCACAACCTGTTCCTCGAGGTGGAACAAATAGTAAACAGCCGACCTTTAACGTATCTGGCCCTCGACACTGCCGACCAAGAGGCACTAACACCCAACCATTTCCTGCTGGGCTCATCGTCGGGTCTCAAACCAGTTGGGAA